CTTGTGACCTGTGACCTTCGTTTTGTATCTGCCGACTATAGAAACTGGTCCATTACCACCCTACAGTATTATACACCCACTGATAACAAAGATAGGATTTCTGCTCAGGCCCATAGTCATCTATTATGAATGCATGCTGAGACTATTAATAGTAGCTATAGATTTGTGAGATTGCTGCATACATGATAATTATTATGATATTAAGTGTATGGGGCTGTATGGAAATCTTACCATTACAAGGTCTGTTCTGTTATTGTTAGCCACATTTAAATTTACTCAAATTTAGGTTCTCACCGTTCATAGCATGGATTTCCAACTGATAGTGGGGCCCTGCCAGTTGACCTAAAAGTCAATATAGTGTTGGTACAATATTATTTAGGTACATTGCAGCTGAATAGTCACATGGTGCAAAAACCTTTCTGGCCCTAATTGTTGAAATGTTCGATAGCTGTATCCGGTGGATAAATATTAGGGAAACCAATTATGTTATCCACTGGATAGAGATTTATCTAGAGGATAGCTTTATTTATCTTTTGAACATTAATGAGGCCTGGAAGGCACGGAGACAGTGGGACTGTGCTTCACCGCAGCACAAGAGGTTGTTTGTCTAATTTGACCATTTAGCTGCAAATGGCCCATTACAGAAGGTAACTGGTTACACTGATCATCACAACATAAATAATGTCCTTAGTGTACTTTGATGAAAGAAACTCCCAAACAGTAGATTATTTTTAGTTTAAAACTCAGTCAGCCATGTTTATCTTACTTGAGTATTAGTGTGTCGTTCATGATTTAGGGGAATACAGACTTTAAAGGATGAACTAAGGTGGGGAGAAGGGAGGGAGCTTTCACCATAGGCAGATTTAGGGTTTGGTCGGCGTGACCAAAGCCACCCCTTTCTGTGTGAAATTTTGTGCTATTTTTAAAGAATTCTCACTGAAATAAGTAGCTGCCAAGTATACCAGCCTCCCTTTTTGAATTTTCCAGATCTGCCGAAGCTGCCCTTCTTTGTCCTCCCCTTATTGCTTCAGTCTTCCCAGCACTAGGGCTGTTTAAAATTAAGATTGCTCATTGTGCAAGACAACCTTAAGATGTCTCTGTCCACTGATTTTAAGGCTCTGAACCCAGTTGTTCGAATGCCAGTTGGCCCTAACCCAGGGTTAAATTTTAACCCAGGCTTCTTTTTCTTTTCATCAAAAGCACTCTCTCAGATAATTTTCTATATTCTTTTTAAACTATCCAATCATCAAATTTTAGACAATGAGAATTAAACTGAATTTGCTTTTAAAGCTCTCATATCTGAGTTCAAATTTTGCACTAACCTTGGGTTATCTTAACCCATGCAGTTTCAAACAAACCTGGCCCAGGACTGTTCTTAATCCTTACCTATCAGTAGAGGGATTGTCGTGTGCCGTTTGCAGGCTAGAAATCAAAACGGTAGAAATAGGTAAGTAAAAACAATGAAATAATTTTTTACTGCTTTACTATACTTTAATCTGTTACGATTTTTTTGTTTTGTTTTGCTGATACGTCAGTTACTTTGAGTGTTACTCATAACTGTTATAGCTCACAAGTACATGTCCTTTAGTCAAAGACAGAGCTAATCAATTAGGTGCTTAGAAGTGGGTTCTCTATCCTACTCTTCAAAGGGAAGCAAACTTGCTAAAATGTGCATGCTGAAATGTTTCAAATGTTAGTCCAGTTTCTAATTTGTTACGGCCGCTGAATAGTGGATTCACCCCTGTTCTACCTTCACTATCCATCCAATTTTTACTTCAGTCTTCTCACCACTAGGGCTGTTTAAAATTGAGATCACTCATTGTGCAAGACAATCTAAGATGTCTCTGTCCCCTGATTTTAAGGCTCTGGACTGTTCAGAATCCTTACCTATCAGTAGAGGGATTGTCATGTGCCGTCTGCGGGCTGGAAATTGACATGGTGTAAATAGGTAAGTAAAAACAATGAAATAAATTTTACTGCTTTACTATGCTTTTTTTCGGTTATGATTTTTTTTGGTTTTATTTTGCTGATACATCAGTTACTTTGGTTGTTGCTCATAGCTGTTATTGCCCACGAGTACATGTCCTTTAGTCATATATCCGTCAAAGCTATTCAGGAAAGTGGTTAGTAGTGGGTTCTCTATTCTGCTCTTCAAAAGGAAGCAAACCTGCTAAAATATGCCTGGTGAAATGTTTAAAAAAAAATCCAGTTTCGAATTTGTCGCGGCCACTGAATAGTGGATTCACCCCTGCTCTCCCTTAGCTATTCCCCTACTTTTTGCCTCAGTCTTCCCAGCTCTAGGGCAGTTTAAAATTGAGATCACTCATTGTGCAAGACAACCTTAAGCTGTCTCTTTCCTCTGATTTTACAGCTCTGGAGTGTTCATAATCCTTACCTATCAGTAGAGGGATTGTCATGTGCCATCTGCGGGCTGGAAATTAACATGGTAGAAATAGGTGAGTAAAAACAATGAAATAACTTTTACTACTTCGCTTAATACTTTAATCTGTTGCAGTTTTTTTGGTTTTTGTTTCGCTGATACATCAGTTACTCTGGGTGTTACTCATAGCTGTTATTGCTCACGAGTACATTTCCTTTAGTCATTAGCCGTCAGAGCTAGTCAAGAAAGTGGTTAGTAATGAGTTTTCTATCCTGCTCTTTAAAGGGAAGCAAACCTGCTAAAATATGCCTGCTGAAATGTTTCAAATAATTGAATTCATTCTGCTTTATTATTTAAAGATTACCTCGCATAAATAACGTTTGGTGTCTCCTTGTCTAGTTTTGTGCTTCCTCTCCTGTATAATGAACAAATTTTTCTTTTTTAAAATTTTGCTCTTGAAGAACAAATTTAAACAGTACTTTCATTGACTGGTTAATTAACATGTGAGTCAACGATAACTTATACTACTGTAATGGAAGTCTGTTTATTTGACACATTATTGAAACACATTGAATTAGTGAAAGGCGCCATTTGATGGCTGCTCGCTGCTCTCTAAAGTAACACTACTTTAGCTTACCTTTAATTAATTACAAGTACCTTTTATAATAAAAAAACGCAGCCAGAACCAGGAAAACCAGGATGATTAAAATCACAACGGGAACTACAACAGCAACTACATTTACACCTGTTGGAAAAAAATATTTAGCGTTTTACATGCGTTTTGACTATAGAAACCTTAAGCAACGAGAAAGTTGCCGTCCAGGACGACAAAAATGGCAACCGGAAGTTGATATTTGCTCTCTTTAAGCGCTGACTCGACAACTTCATACAACGGGAGCTAAAACAAAGGTATTGAGATTTGTTGTGAGAGACAGAGGCGTTCCATCAAGCGAGACATCGAACTTCCGGTTGCTATTCTTGACATCCAGGTGCCAGTTCAAAAGGTGGATAGCGCTATCCACTGGATAAATCACTGTCCACTAGATAGCACAATAGGTTTTCCTAATACTTATCCGATGGATAGGGATTTATCCGATGGATAGTACTATCCATCTTTAGAACAACCAGGGCCAGGACGTCAGCGTTCTCGTTGCTTAAAGCTCGCTTATATCAGCACCCGTAGAGCGCAGGTTAAAGCCTAGAGCGAGGGTCCCAAATAGAGCGTTTTCACTCACGTGGCCAGCATCTATGCAAATTTATTGGAACAAAAGAAAGCGTTTGAATAAGAAAAGAGTTCAACTCCAATAGGATTGGTTTGGAACACCAACATGGCCGTCGTGACGTCATGTGAAAATGCTCTATAGGTTTCTTCAATAACAATAATAATAAGAAGAATAACGCCATTTCCATTCTTGTTCAATGGCGCTTTACAACGACTATTAATTTTTTTAAAACAAATAAAATAATAATGCACTGTTTAAGAATTTTGAAATTAAGCTAAGTGTCAAAATTAACAATATTGTTAAAATGGATAAAAAAATCACGGGATAAAATCAAATAAAGATAATGTAGCAAATACGTTCCTAGGATGATCATAAATTTTAAAAAGATAAGTTTTCACTAAACGTTTAAATTGATTAAGACAAGCGCAGCACCTTTTATGTTTGCTCCATACCGTAATCCCGATGGTAAACTTTAGCATCCTGCGTGCCACGCATGCTTTAAATCCCGAATCTTACCCCCGTTTTGCTTTGAAATTCCGAATAAAGACCTCGGTTCAGGTTATGGCCAAGCCGGGATCTCAAAAAACCTATTGGCGACCCTGTAGAGCTTCTAGCATACCAAACGCGTAGAGGCCGAGAGGCATTGTAGTCCTTGTAAATCTCTTTAAACACTGATATGCAATTTGCCCATGTCATGTGATATATATTAGATAATTAAACCACTGAAATTAAGAATCACAGTTTATGGTAGAAATCTAGAATCTAGAGGTTTCTTGCCTTTTTCCTTACTCTCTTCCTTTTTATCGCTGTTTCCAGTTCCTTTTGTCGTTGTAGATTCTTTGCTAGTTGTGCTCTTCGTTATTACTGACAAGGTTGAGGCAGCAGTGGTCGTTCCTGAGAAAAGGAGAAACCGTTAATATTCTTTTTTTTTCAGACCATAAACACTTTAAACATTTTAAAATGTTTAAAGAAATACGCAAGCTATAATTGGCCAGAGAGGGGTCATGAATTTGCGCAGTACAAAGGAGTACATTATTATTATTATTATTATTACTATTATTATTATTATTATTATTATTATTATTACTATTATTACTATTATAATTATTATTATCATTAAGGTCCTTCCCCATGCCTAAAGTCGCATGTGTGCTTAGCACGTAGGGTACCCAAGTTAAATTAGACCAAGCTCACGTCAAGTCAACGAAAAACAACTTCTAAGCTAACGAAAATCGTTAAAAAGACACGGAACCTCTCGGAGTAGTTTCACGTATTTCGTACACAGAGCGGGACCGGACTTACTGGCCAAAACAAACGTTAAGTCCCAACCAAGTTTGATTATAACTCCCCCCCGCCCCGCCCCACCCCGCACCATGGAACCTCTCACATCCCGGACATCACTTACCTGGGCATTGATTGTCGCAGTACGACGCGTTGAAACCGGTGTAAGACACACTACCATCCGAAATAAACATAACAAATATTTGATTTGACGAAGAGTAAATTCCTCTTATAGGCGGAGGATGTTTTCCATAAAACACTCCCAGTTCCTTCCCCTCTTCATTCTTGCCATCGTAAACGTATAATGCATCCGTATTGTTCTCGTTTTGCAAGTTGAACGTTGTAAATACTAAGTGAATTCGCTGGGCTAGATTGACCGTGATCCTCCACGAGCAGTATTGTCCATCCGGGTATTTTTCTGGATAGTTTGGCGAGTGAAAAGTTCCTCTGGTTCCATTTATGGATGTATTGCATCCTACAAAAAAAAAAATGAGAGTATCAGACAGCTATGTTGGAATATACAGTCGACGTTGCGAACGTTGCAAACAACTAAACAACTCAATAATACGAACAGCTTCGAACAGCAGCTAAACCCTTCACAAAATTAAGTTGGAGACTGGAAAAAAAATTGAACTTCTGCTATTCCAACCCTCTGTTGAGGACTCTAACTTGCGATCCCAGGGTTATCCGCAAAAGAGGAAATTGACTGTATAGCTCAATGATTGAATAACTGTCATTAACAATGCTAAAACTGGTCATAATTCGAAAAGTGAGCAAAACGTTTCTTGCATTCCCTAGAATCGTGATCACCTCCTCTTCGAACCTTGCGAGAGAAGACGATATGTTTAAGAGAGGAGTCTGGGAGGCCATCGACTGAAATATTTTATTGGGTTCCAACAATGAACTGAGACGCTGGTTACGAGCTCCCCGCGAATAATAGGGACGCTTTGTCACGTGATTCGCAGTATAAATCAAGTTATGTCCATTTTCATTACGTGATAAAGATTCCACCGTGGAACGAAATGAAAGCTTGTGTATAATAAGTTCTTCCACCTTGGGATTTGAAAGTTCGTTTTCTCTAGAAATTGAATATGTTTCAAAGAATTAATCAAATAGAGAGTAAAAATTTATGTGTATGTAAATTAGGTTAGAAATTATGTGCAAGTCTAAAATAGTAGGTCTTTAGCTGTTTCTCAAAATACTTTAATTTCCTTGCTTCCTAAATACTACCTGTCAAATGTTCCAAATAGTGGGGGAAGCCATTTTAAAGCCAATCCCTGTCTCCTAGGTAGTGGATTTCGGATTCTTTGTCAGTGGGATTTGTATTTCGGACTCAAATCTTTAGATATTAAATCTTTGGATTCCGGATTCCTTGAGCTGTATTCCAGATTCTAAAACCGAGGATTACGGATTCCAGAAGCCAAAATTTCCCATGTATGAAATTAACCAAATTAACCAAAGGCACACCGACAAATTGAGTACCGGAAGTCGAGTTCAATCCCTTCCGCCCGTTTTCGCGTTTTCATTTATGTCGCGTGACTTTGCTAAATTCGCCTATAATACTCACCACGATAGTAGCAGTAATGAATTGTAGGATGTTGTGTCCCAGCATTATAAGGATAGGACCAATTTCTGCCGTCCGTATTGTTAACCTTTTCTGTGTCGTAATATATCCATTCTGAGGTCGCTATCGCCCATTTGACCATTTGGCATTCACCTGATCCATAAGCCAACAGAAAAAATGGGAGTTTAGTTGGGAGGATGATGGGTTCTCTCTTGTTACCGTCTGTTCTGCAGCAAAACCTTATCTCTGTGTTATCGCCGACATATTTGCCACCAGGACGCGTTCCACCTTTAGAGTTCGCGTTCAAAGAATTTTCATCGTCCCACTTGACGAAACCACCGTGCATAAAGTGAGGGCACGCCCCTTTTTTATAAATACAGTATTGACCTGCGGAGAAAGTTAAAATGAAGGGAATTTAATATATGAACAACAACACGATCATCATCATCAGCCGCATCCTAATCGTCGTCGTCATCATCATCATCATTTCTATTACTTTTATTAACATCATAAAAGTTATGATTATGATTTTTAGCAATTATTTAATGAGGCTGAGTATGATCTGCATAATACTTGAGATCCTACGAAAATCGAAACCAATGGTTGTTTTGTTATTCATTCAAAATAATTGTTACTTTAAAACACGCTTTCCTCTACCGATGTCAAGTTTCTCTCTTCATCATCTTGTTCCTCGTCAAATTCAGGATATGAAGAGCTGTTTAGTCATATAACCGAACGTCGCAAACGTCTTAAAAATCTGGTCAACGCTAGCTGGTTATGAAGAATTAGCCGGGGAATCTGAGCCAATCAGCAACGGAGAAATGTTTTAAGTGGATAATAAGTGATGATTATTATTATCGTGTAAATCAGGCTTGCATGACTTCGCTTCCTTTGAGCAATACGGATCAGAATTCACAGAAAAAGGTTAACCTTGCTGTTTTAATCATTTATTAAAGTACCAATTGCATAGTGAGCACTCTAGTAACAAGGGCCCAAAGGATGTCAACATGTTTCGGGAATATTCAGTTATATGTGGTGCGTTGTGTGTAATTTTGGACAGTTGGTTAATTGGAGCATGTTTATTTACTTTTCGTTCATTCAGCACCCAAACTGTAACTCATTCTTTATCTTTGGTATTTATATTAGATGCAAAATGTAAAGAGTAAATTTACTACCGACGCACGAACAAAAACTCTATGCGTTTTTAAACTCAAGAGAGAATTACTTGCCGTTGGATAGCAATGAAAGAAGCAAGTTCTCAGCTTTTTTTAACAGAATTACAAGGAACTTTATTCTTTTTCACCGACCAGTTGACATAGCGGCCATGTCAGTGGTCAATGCAATAAAAAATTATTTTAAAGAATTTACATGAAAATAGAGTTCCCAGAGAATAGAAATGTTTTTGTTCTTGGACACCAACATGGCTGCCATGACTTCACATGCAAATTAGCAATTAAAATAGTAGTACCTCAGTTCTAAGTTTAAAGGAACTACAGTAACTCGTAAAATGCCGAGTACACTTGCAACACCTGCATCTTGTTTTGTGCCAAAAATAGCAGTCAAGCAGGGGAACAAGTTATTGAAATGGCCAGGCATAAAAGATCGCCTTGTGTTTTATGCTGCGCTCCGTTTTTAAACGGCATAACCTAAACGCAGGCACAACCGAAAGCAGGGGCCAATTTAATAAACCTTTCACAAGTGTAATTTACAAGTGTAGCTGTTGTTTTCAGACTCTAAAACAATGGCTACACTTGTAAATTACACTTGTAAAAGTTCTATTAAATTGACTCTAGGAGAAAATTAAGAAATTATCCCGATCCTTGTGCTTACGGTACCATGCTTGCGGTTATTGTGAAAACCAAGCAAATATGAATGTGAAAGTCACTAGGGACGGACCATTAGAAAACTTATGGGGGGGGGGGGGGGGGGGAAGTAAAAAAAAAAATTTTAAGAAAGGGAAAAAAAATTAAAAAAAAATTTTTCCCCGCAAATAAACCCAAAAAAAAATAGGACCTCCCGCAAAAAAAAATTTTAAAAAAAGAATTTATTAAAAAAAAAAAATTCGAGGGGCAAAAAAATTGCCACCCCCCCACAAAAAATTCTAAGGGCGAAGTACAAAAAAAATATTCAAGCAAGGGAAAATTAAATGAAAAAAAATTCATGCACGCCAATTAACCCTAAAAAATCTTCATGCTACGGCCTAAAAAATCTTGATACAAGGAATTTGATAACGAAAAAAAATTCCTGCGGCTCAAAAGTTCCCCACCCCCACCATAACATTTCTAATGGTCCGTCCCTTAGTAGGGGGTAGATTTTCAAATTGTGTTTATTAAATTAAAATAAACAAATAAATGATTAACAATAAATAAATAATAGTAAATAGTAATGAGTCACAAAAGTTATCTGTCGTTTTGGTAACCAAACATGAAGAGACCTGAATAAACACCAGTTCTCGAAAAACTAGTCCAGGTTATAGAAAAATACTTCAATACAAACCTTTGGGCCAGACGGGTCTAATTGAGTCGTATGTTGTATTGTCTTTGATGCAAAATGACCTGTTAACTTTTGTGTTGTCTACGGTTCCATCGAGGTGAAATTCCGCTGAACACGAATTGTTTACGTCATTGCTATTACTGCCTTGGGATCTCCATCCCTCCAGCCACTGAAAGTGGTCCGTCTTTGGACACCCGGAATCAGGTTTTGGTATCCCGTATGTACCGGCGGGCCAGCGATTTGACCCTAAAAAAAAATTCAGTGTTCACTTTTATTCAAACGTCATTCAACAATTGTTAGTGTTGCAAAAGGGGTACCATCCAGCAAGGACATAAACTGATCGAGGTAAAAAAATATCATAGGTCATCATACAGTGAGTTCGACAAAACCTCAGAAGTAATAACAGTAATTATTACATAGCGAAAATGATGATTGGGTTGATAACGATAGTAACAATAATAGTCATGACAATGAGGTTTTGCCAACATTGCGGACATATGCCGAAAGTCAATATTTGCGTGATAATCGATCTTAGAAATAAACTGGGCCCTGAAAACGCCGTGACATGTGACATGAAGACGTGTGTTGCTCGCCGCGGTTCATGGGCTCCTTGTACAGTATAATGGTCACTGTATTTCCTTAGTTGTTGGAACTCCAGTTTATTTTCAGTATAGCAGTTTCAGTTTAAAAGCCAGGAAGAAAACAAGCAAACAAAGCAAAGACCAAAAATAGCGTCTGATGGTCTGAAATAAGGTCAAGAAGAGGACATCACACCCAAACAACCACCACCCCCCCTCTCCCCTTCTCCCTCACTCCCCAGGAGTCTAGGGAATAAAACGTAGAGATGAAATGTTTTTAATTTCTTGAGTCGTTATTTCAAATGCTAGTTTAGTCCTCAAGTCCTAAGGATTGGGAATTTTCAAGTCCGAAGAAAATTTTAACACGGTTATGCTAAAATTCTTGGGAAGACCAATTAATCCGGCTCAGTCGTTGGAGACTTCCGGTCAGTGTGTTTGAGATTTTTAGTCACACAATGTAGCAAAGTACGTTTCCCAATTTTCATAGCAACAAATAATCGGAAAACGTCAAACAGGTCTCCTAGCTCAAGATCTCTTGTCCCGAGCACTAAATTTTTATTGTATCTGAACCTAGTTATCATCGCGCTAGGTATATGATACGTCAATCGGACATTTTTTGTAGTGAAAGTGGAAAGCATGTCTTGTCAGGAACTGTCTCTTCTGTCATTTTGCGGCCAGTTTAGATCATATTCAAATCAGATAACGAATAGAGTATTTTCTGTGACTACTGACTGGCCCAAAAGAAAATAATTTTGAGATAATCTGGTAGAAAATATCTGACTAAAATGGAAATAACACTCAGTGGAATTAACATTCCATCTCCTTGTCGTTACACTGAAAATCCGCTACATACCTGAAGGTTTCAAACACTGAAGAAGGCTAATAAATCCTAAAATGTCCCTCAGCAGCATTTCAGTAGTTTATACATTGATGCAAAACACCGAAAGAAGCGAAACAGGCGAAATAACATTAAAGGTCTGTGAGGATGCGGGGCTACACTTCCTGCCAACTAATAAGATTGCGTTACAGTTAATAGTTAACTGCTTAGTGAGCTGCTATAAATATCTAGCCTCTAGGCCATCAGCTCAGAGAGGTTGATAAATCTGATAGTTTCCTTTTCGTATGAAAGAAACGGTTCGTACCCCAGACATTAGTGGAAGAAGGCAAGGTGGAGGGGTGGAAGAATGCTTGGATAATGGGAAGTGAACAAATATTCGCATGCCCATTTCATAAATCCGACCAGTGTGTTACAAGTTTGGAAAATCCCGCGGTAACTCATGTAATTTATTAGATTTAATTATGTTGGTTTGTGTTTCGGTTTTGGTCTGGTGATTTTGTTTTGAGAAATGCGTTTACATTTTTATTTTTGTGATCCTGTTTCGAGTTGAGTCTAATAATAATAATAATAATAATAATAATAATAATAATGGCTTGGTTTTAGAATATCCACGGAGTGGTTTTTCATCTGCTCAATTTTGTAGGTGTGTGTGTGTTTTTTGTCCGTTTCGGCCACAATATATAACTGTTCAAATCCAGAGATCAAACCGCAATGTCCTTTTCTCTCGTCATAAATAAGCCTATAACGCAAGAGAATTGCAAAGATTCTATTGTTTTGATAAACAACTGGACAACAAATGGTCGTTCGTTTTCTTTGACGTCGCGTACTGCATAGCCTGAGAAAAGGCCGACATTTCGCGACACACAAGTCTGCGTACCTCGCCACTGATCATTCCGGGTTGGGGGTGGGGGGAGGGGGGAGGGAGTGGTGGCGTCGAGAAATGTTGGGCTGTTTTCTCAGGCTACGTGCTGTGTAGCTTGCGAATATGCAACCGTTTCTAGCCCGTTCCAGGCTCTCAGATAGTCAGGACGTCGCGGAAACAATGTCCAGGGAGAATAGAACGCGTGATGTGATCCGGAAAAGTGGGCGTCGGCAGGACAAGGAGTGCAAGCCACGGATCGAGTGATCATCAGATTGCTTTTCCAAAATATCATTTTATTTTATTGTCCTCTCTTGTTTTCATTTACTGTCAAGAAATACCTTACAGCCATTTTAAGAGAAGACTAAACTTTATAAAATTCTGAAAACTGGTTTCGAGCGTTATGCGGCAAATTCGGCTTAGGAAACTTCGCACTCCCTCGCCCTATTAACGAAAAAATCTATTTAAAAGTTAACCAACAGTGAGAGTAGATGCATCAAAAGGGTTATAAACCCGTTTGAAGGTACCCGCCTCTGGAGTTGGATTTGATTAAATTCATTAATTAATAAAATTGAAATAACAGTATAGTGGAACATACCGTAAAATTCCGAAAATAAGCCCCTCCATGTATAAGCCCCTCCAAATATAAGCCCCCCAAACCGGTAACGCAAAAAACCCTCCGTTAAATCGCCTCTCCAAATATAAGCCCCCCGGGGGCTTGTACTTGGAAAATTACCCTCAAATACAAAGTATAACAAAGAAAAAACGGTAAATTTACTTCCAACTATATGGCTAGCCCAATCGATTTTGGAACGCAAATTTCCCCCCGTAGATAAGCCCCTCCGAGTATAAGCCCCTCCAAAAATAAGCCCCTCAAAAAGGGCCTTTGAAAAATATAAGCCCCAGGACTTATTTTCGGAATTTTACGGTATGCTAGCAAGATTTCGCGCTTCGCTAACGTTTTTCAGTATAGGGTACGGGTATATTTTGTAGGATAGCTTTTCGTGGTGCCACAAAAAGCCATATGGTATAGCATGAACAGCAACCGCCCGGTGCGGCCCCAAAGTTCGGGTTCACACATCTCAAACATCGCGCCGGCACGGTTGACCGAGAGGGTTTGGTGCACTAAATTCGGCTCAGTGGGTTCCAATCCTCGCTTTTACTTATTTACTTCCGCAACAGGCCGAATAGGTGCTCACACTGCACCAAAGAATGGCACAAAACCTATCCGATATGTGATTCTCCACTTTCGAGATCGACGCGGCGCAGCTTCCCTCCGTCCCAGAAATCGCGCCGCCACAACCGTTCTTATGTGTGAACAGAAACCTTAAGAGGTATGATTTTCGGATCAATTTAGATTTCTGGGAAACTACCCACCTACCCCTCCCCTTAGCTGTTATTTTGTCCTAAGCGAGAAGTAGGTGTTAATGTTAGCTTTAAGTGGGGGGGGGGGGGGGGGGGGGGGGGGGGTTTTTTNTAAGTGAACAAATTACCCATGCTCGTCTCGCGGACACCGCGCTTTAAATGTGAAGAACAGGACGGTGGGTCAATTTTCCTGAAACGTTTTACTGCTGGCAATCTTGTTTCCTTTCTAACCTGCATAACAGGCGCTTCATGAGCCAAGCGAGGTGAACGCGGTATTTTTGAGACGAGCGTGAAGGGGAATACAAAATGAGGACAAAAAATAAAGCTTTGTTTTTTTCTCCTCCCCTCGTCTTGCGCTTCGTGCAAAATGCCACGTTCCCCTCGCTTGGCTCATAAACCGCCTGTTTCCATTCCGTGGTGATCATCCAATTGTATTTAAACTGGGCGTGGAACTACAAGAAAAAATGAAAAGTACATATCAGATAAAATAAATTAAATTAGGATTGTTTTATTGCAATTAAATAAGGGAATAAACACAATGGCAACATAATTTAATGATGTAAATCTAAACGGCTGATAAACGGGATAATAAACGGAAAATCGTCTAAACCAATAATTAGAAAATGTTTGTAGCCCTGCCCAAAGTTTTTTTCGCCATATTTGACAATTACGTGAAATTAAAGCTATACCATTCACAGGTTCATGTTCCCACGAAAATAATTAATAATCATAATTTAATGCAAGGTACCTTACCGACCGTACAGTGACAACAAATCTATAAGTACGTTTGTGGAGGATCTAGAGGCGGAATTTTGATAGAAAAGTACTGGTATGCTTACCTTGAGTAAAACAGAAGTTTTGGAGTTGCTTGCTCTTTTTCCCGCACTCTTTTTCTATAACGAACAGAAAGATCACATTATTCACAATCAAATTTTGCCGTTAAGAAAGGCCTTAAATGAGAGGTGAAAGTGAAACGTAGGAAAATGGGGTCTAACCCTTATGATCGTTTTCACATGACGTCACGGCGTCCACATTGGGTACAAAACAATGAAATGGCGGCCATGTTGGTGTTCCAGAAAACTTCTGTGGGGATTGAATTCTTTCCTCGTGAAAAAAACTTTCTTTTATTCCAAGAAATTTGCTTAGCTGCTAACCACGTGAGTGAAAACGATCTATGAAATAAAGAGTACTATACTCTATCAGTTTTTAGGTCAAACGTAAACGTCCCCTGTGGTTTTATTTATGAACCAGTCTTCAACAATATCTCACCTTTTGCAATAAAGCAATCCTGCTACCAAAAAGGCAAGAATAAGAGACAATGCCACCACTGGAACGATGATGGCCAGCAAATCCTTACCTGTTAGAGACACAAATTTACACCTAGATCAACAAGACAGTACTTCAGTAAGGGAGCTTTTCCTACAGGCGTCAACAAAGTTGACGCATCAAAGTTCGTCCTTAAAACCAACCTTAATTGTTCCCAGGGTCCTCTCTCGTTTTGAGGGCCGAGTAGGGAAGTAGAAACGAGGTTGCCTTCAAACTTGGTAATGAAGGTGAAGCTAAAGAGCACCCTCTGAATACGCCTTGGCCTTCACTTTCTTTTTTAAGAAGCTTAAAATTTCATCTTGTGCAAAGAAGTTAGAGAAAGGCGTGGTTTATGTTGATAGGTGTTGTTTTGCTCACTACCGAAGTGAAGTGGTGCTGTCGCTGAAAATGTTGGTCTAATCTCCCCATTAGGCTGTTTCTTGGTGTTGCGGAAACTATTGTTGGTACAATCTTTTGTATTACGTCATTTCGGTGGTAATTGCACCCGTCTTGATTACAACCATATTAGCTGAACGGCACTAACTAAGCCGACGGCTTTACACTACCAGTCAAATCTAGTAAGGCCTCTTTCGGTATCTTTCAAGAAGGAAAGACGTTTCGCCGCATTATGACAGTGTGTGTGTTCGTTTGTCTCATACTACTAAGATGCACACAGTGGACTATACCTTAAAGACATTTGTTCTTGGGCCATCGTAGATTTATAACTATACCTTATTGTACCGCATCTAACAAGATTACAGCATATAAATTACGCGATGAAGGTTAAGTATGATGGGAGATACTTATGATGGTTCGGGCATGATAAGCTCCCGCCTCTGCTTGTAAGGAATATGGGAATGAAATAAAGAACGATTTGTGTTCGATACCTTCCTCCTTAGATGTTTTAGTGTAATTTGTCTCCCCGCCTGAATTTGAAGAGGACTCCACTATTACTGTTGTCGTTCCTGAAGGTTTTGGAGTTACTTTTCGAGATAGCGTCACTTCCGGCACACGCGTAGTCTTAGGTGCAGCAGTTGGAGCTAGTGAGAAAAAAAGAGGCATGATTTGTAAAGGAAGCATGTCGCCCAAAGTAAGGGAATCCAGGACAGTCTTTGATTCTGGTTTCAAGGTACTGGATTCCATTCTTTGTCAGTGGAACTTGATTCTGGATTCCAGTCGTTGATGGGTTTCCGGATTCCTTGGGCTGTTTTCCGAATTCCGAAGCCCGGGATTCCGGATTCCATAAGCAAAAATTTCCCGTATTCCTTAGTCTGGATTCCCTTATATGGGGCGAACCATTCCCGAATAGCTTAGACCGCTAGGTTTTAACGCGGTCACTCCGGGATCAATTAGCTCCAGCAACGCCTGGCTCTGAGTTGTTTTGTAAGTCCCCAGTTCAAAATGATCACGGCTTCACTTGCAAATAGCTCGCTCGTTTCTCTCTGACACTTGAAGTTTTTAATTTGTTATGTTTCAATTGACATACCTAATTCGTTTCATAATCGTTCAAAAGCCCCTTAACCCTTTAAGTCTCAAGAGTGACCAGCATCAATTTTCTCCTAACGATATCAATACATAATCAAGAGAAAAGGTGATGAGAATGAATAAAATGATCACTACAGGGAAAATACTTTAATCGTTTGTCAAATTCTTTCAACCAATTCTGTATGGAAATATATGGAGATCAATCTGGAGAATTTGTATTGGGATATTGGGGCTAAAGGGTTAATAAGAGGAGAAGATAATTAACTGCCTATTTATTTCCGTTTTTTGTCCTCTGTCTATACAATAACGTTATGCCACGTGACCTACCGAGAAATTTTATGTTTCCTTTCAAAGAGTAGGAAATTTCCATTATTAATCTCTCGTGTAGTACATGTGATATTATTGATCATAAATTTGAATGTTTCTTGTTCTGCGCGCCCAATTAACTTATAGGCCTGTATTCTTGGTCCGTATTGTGAGTTACGGATCACTGGAAAGAACGCTTGGTCCATAACGTTCAGTAAGAACCCTCGAAGTTGTTTAATAAGAGGTACATGATCATTACCTGAATAATTGACAGCACTGTAAGAGGCATTGAAGCCGGTGTAGGAGCCATTATTGTCTGACTTGAATATTATGAACATGTGGTTTGAAGAAGAGTTTGTTCCTTCTTTTGGGGGAGAGTAACTTCCGTAAAATACTCCCAGCACCTCCCCTGTGGAATTTTCTCCATCAAACACATATAAAACGTCCGTGTTATTTTCGTTTTGCAGATTGAAGTCTGTGAAAGTTAAGTGGATTTGTTGGGCTGGGCTGACTGTGATCCTCCAGGAGCAGTATTGTCCATCCGGGTATTTGTTTGGATAGTTTGGTGAGAGAAAAGTGCCGTTCAATCCAGTAAGAGTCTTGTTACAACCTGAAAGATAAATGTACGCTTAACATGCACAGGCTACCCACGCACACGCGTCAAGTGCAAAATGTTATATTTAAGATAAATATCATCGGTAATGACGGTTTTCCAATCACACATTGTTGTCGCTGTTTCTCAGTAAGAAGCAGGGGTCGTAGTCCCCGGTGATGTATCCAAATTTTACACTCGTAGCGAGTAAGGGGCATTCATAACTCATTCCTTCATTGACTGTAAACTTCTACACAAACAGTTTGGCAAACGTGCCCCAACCATTGTTGTAAATTCCCTGAAAAGCCGCGAGGGTTATCGGTAATGACATATTTACGATTTGAGGTTTATTAGTAGTAGAAACGAGATTTACACCAGGGGTGTTCCCATAAATTTCGAACAGGTGTGTACCGCCCAGGGTCTTAAACCCTGACCCTTATTTAATCATAAGACAAACGATAACTGATACCCTATGTGAGACCCAAACCTGGAAAATAAGACGCAAATCAAGGGAAAGACAAAAACTAAATAAATAATGGTAACATGCAAATCTTCCATAAATCACTTTCCTAATACTCTAACGTAAAGTTTAGTTTTCACAGATGATTTATTCGTCGTGCACCAAGGCATTTACTCTCTTTTAGCTGATATAATAACGGTACCCTGTCTAAAGATCATACGAGAACACAGCGCCAAAAAGGGCAAAAATTATACCCTATCTTAGGATGGAGACCCTCAGAAACCATACACTATCGGGCGGCCATACCTATGGACCTCATATAGGGGAGTAAACCCCCCCTTCCCCCTCCGTCAACGATTAACTTACCCTGATAATAACAGTAATATATAGTTGGATGCTTTACACCAGCGTGGTAGGGAAATGCCCCGCCGCGGTCATCTGCGTTTCGTTCTTCCTCTGTATCGTAATATATCCACTCAGGGCTCGCTGTCGCCCACTTTACCATCTGACACTTGTGCGACTCGTACGCAAGAAGAAAAAATGGTCTCTCAGACGGTAGGAGGATAGGATTATCTTTGTTTCCGTCTGTTCTACAACAAAACTCAATTCTTGTGTTGCGGCCGTATGTGCCATTTGGAAGCGTCCCATCTTTATCATTGGAGTTCTTCTCGCCATCTAAATCATCCCAATAGACAAAGCCCCTTTTCATTTCAAAAGGACACTGCTGGTTCTTTTTGTAAATGCAGTATTTTCCTGATGAAAATAATCAGATTCACAATGAGTATCTAATTCGATATCATTTAAGGATCGTAGAGCTTTTTAAAGGACTAAAAGTCTTTTGCACTGCTATAAGGAAACAACTCGTGATCTGACCACTCCATTGAGTCCATCTTCTGCTAACGGGAACCTTTCTTCAACTGCCACATCTCTGTAGCAACAGCGCCGAATAAAAGCAACGTCAAATGAAAACCGGTGAAAGCGCGCGAAGGGGAATGTAAACGACTTCCGGCCCGATTTACCGCTATGCTTGTATTAGTCAATTAGGTTCTTTATCAACGGCTGACCTACGCGCACAGTGATCATGATATTAAAAGTTAAGAAAAAGTGACGAAGTATCTGAAACTCAGACCTGTCCCTTCATGATGGATACCGCTGACCTATCTCCATGGTTTGCCGCTTAAGTCAAGATAGCCTCAAATGTACTTATACCAGAAATAGTGGATGACAAACAAAACTAATAAAATGCCTTCCTTCGACAATTACTAACCTGGAGGCCAGGAGGGTCTGTTCCTATCATTTGTTGTATCGTTTTTGATGCAGAATGACCTTTGAACCTTCGTGTTGTCTACTTTTCCATCTAGGTGATATTCTGGCGACCTGGAGTTGTTTGAATTTACTCCATTTGTGTCTTGGGATCTCCATCCTTCCTGCCATTGGAAACCGTCATCCTCAGGACACCCGGATATAGGTTTGGGTATCCCGTATGCACCAGATGGCCAACGAAATGCCCCTTGAAATTAAGATATTTTCGATCATGTAATTTGTGGCCCTGCTGCTTGAACTTGTGCGCATTGGAACAAGTAACTGTGCGACTCTTTCCTTAATTATACCCGTCTTCCTATCTATTCAAGGCGTAATAGGCGAACCAAAGCAACGGCCAATCAAATTCACGTCCATTTAATTGGACAATTAGCGCGTGGCGTGTCAGTGTTACTCGACGCTGACAAGCATATCGCGTAAAGCATTACCCCATGAGGAAAGCTCTCTTGAAATTCAAGGTTGCTGAGGAATTAAGTAATGGACTTGAATAATACGAGAGGGGTATTCGATAAACATAAATTACTAATAAATACTATAAATGCAGGTTATGCATTATGAATGTATTGCTACTTCCGGCATTGACCTATTCGGCTAACTCAATGTTGTACCCAATTCAAACCCTTTGGGAATGAAACGTTCCCGGAAGATGTTTTATTTCAGGAATTTCCATATCATTTAAATGTGAATGCTACATTATAGTGCAAATACAGTACGCAAAGAATCTTAACCCCGGGAGATTTGAATTGGGTGCAACACTGAGTTAGCCGAATAGGTCTATTGATTACCAAGCTAGAACATTTCAAAGCATTGATCACGCAACCTAAGAACATGATAAGTTTACTGAGCAGAATTTAATTAAGAAAGAATTTGGCGAAACGGAATCCGGCAACGAGAATTTCTGACATACAACTTTTATGCTTAACCTTGAAAACCAGAATGATGGAAATCGGCCTACGACAAAATTTTGCATAGCTTTTCATCGTGAAACTTCTCAGTCGTCATAAATGAAGGCCCTAAAACGATAATCACCGTGGAATTTTGCTTTTGGAGGCTCATCGATGTTAATATCCTACTGTGGTTAAAAACTCAAAAGATAAAAAATCTCAACTATCTGCATAAAAGAGAAAAACTTGTTGGGTGAAAATAATCTGACTAAAGCCATTCAGTGGGCAAATATGTGAACATACAAGGGTGAAATATTTGCCATGTCCGGTTCCAATACTAGTTTCACCGGGCATTGCAATAACCCTACAAAGGATTTCAATTATCATAAATACTCACCTGACGGTCTCAGGTTAAACCAAAAGCTCAACAATCCTAGGGTAGCAAACAAGAACATTACAATACTGGTGTACGTTTCGAATGAAAGGAAGGTACAATAAGTTAGACATCACACTGATAATTTAGACCTTTCAATCCCTTTAAGAACGTGACCTTGGTGCGTTACCAAGGTAAAAAAAAACTCACACAATTGACAAATTACCCATAAGATAAACATAAGTGGGGCGTTAACATTTTTTCTTTCTTTCGTAACCGAACCTTTTTGGGCAAAAAGGTCAATGGTCTCCAACCTCCAATTTAGCGAAACGTTTCCGCAAAGGGGTATGGATTTTCGGCATGTTCCTAAGAAGTTTTATTCCGTAAAGAACGTTGCGAGGCAGGGTGGGTAATGAGCCTGCTTGAGGGCTTCATTTACCCAGGCCGGTCCACATGCAATGGTTTATATGGGTCTCTCAGTGGCGGTTCCAGGGAAGGGGCCCTGAGGGCCCGGGCCCCCACCTTATTTTCAGACCATACTGAGGCCCGAAGGGCCGAAGAAGATTTTTTTTGACTCCGCCGTTGGTCGCTGCATGGAGAACAGCTGTTTCTGCCACTTCAAGTGTGCATATATAAAATATACTGACAAATGATGACGATCGAGGAAAAGATGAAAACTTCCAGCTGAAAGCACGATGAATCATGCCTTTATCCCGGGGGGCTCTCATGAAAAAAGGTGCGGGGATGGCTGTCGGGATATTATTTCAATCTCCGCTAAAATTAAAGGAAACCAATCGAGGTGTGGTGCAAGCTTTATTAAGGTTTATTTGTTGAGCTTAAAAGTAAAAGAAGAGTCATTTCGACGTGCTTGAGGTCGATCAGAAAATAGCATTTTATTTCATAATGTTTTTGTCGTTTAATATCATGATAATGCGGCCATTGACTTATAGTTATACTTGGTTAAATAAGTTTCAGCAAGGCGAAGAGTAAACCTAAACTTCTATAATTTGCATTGCCGCAAAATGACTACTATTTTGAGAGAAATTTCGTCTCGTGTCCTTTTTTGTTCTACAAATCAGTTTCAATGGGAAACACTTCACTTTTATTGCAATGTTCTACAAAAACATTAATAGCTAATTGTTTATTGTAGCTACAATCATCGTCAAAAGTGTTGGGAAGGTTGCTTTTTTCACCTCTTTTTTTTCTTCCTCCTCCCGCCCCTGGCCCAATGTTGAGCAAAACCTTAATGGTTGCGCGTAATTGTTCTGTTATATCCCAACATTGAATAGGGGGGACGAGGGATATTTAGCAAAGGAGAAAACTCTCTTTTTTGAGGATTAAAATGGACCACTGTTAAGTTGTACAACCTTCCCAACAACTTTTGTCTGTGATTGTACCTTGGGCAATAGGTTTACTGTTACTGGATACGGTTAGCTTAGGACTGATGAACTAATTGCAGATTAAGTGTCAACGTCATTTTTTTCAAACGTTAAGTCCTATTTTATTGTTGCTCTTTCACGGCCCATGTAGGGAAATCCAAGACAGTCTTGGATTCTGGATTTCACGGATTCCGGATCGGATTCCAGGTGCTGGACTCCAGTCTTTGTCAGTGGAAGTTGGACCCTGGATTCAAATCGTTATTGGGATTCCGGATTCCTTGAGCTGTAGTCTGGATTTAAAGCCCAGGATTCCGGATTCCAGAAGAAAACATTTTCCGTACTCCGGAATCCAGATTCCCTTACTTGAGGCGATCCTTCACATGGTAACGGTTTTCAGACACAGTAGATAAACGACCAGCTACAGAATGACGCGATTTTGATGAGGAAATAAGGCATTAAAACGTGTTTGTCAGGTATAGATGGGATTAAATTCCACTTCACCCGTAGCAGACTCGTACAATGGATTTTCACTTTCCTGCTCATTGCGCGTCTCCTTGTTTATCCTTTCGTCTTCTTCAAGCTCAGTGTAGAGCTCGTTTTCTGCAAGTTGTTCTTGACAGTATGGATTTTTATCATCCCTGAGTTCTGTCACAACATTGCTGTAAACTTCGCTTTCGCAAGGCCATGGGCTTTCACGTTCGAGTTGTTTGCATGTTTCCTCGTCAATCCTACGGTCTTCTTCAACATTGGTGTACAGTTCGTTTTCGGCAATTTTCCGAAGTTCGCATGTCTTTTTATCACTCAGGTGGTCGTTTGCAGCATTGCTGTACACCTCACTTTCGCCAGACAATGGTTTTTCAATTTCATGCCTTTTGCATGTACCTTTGTCAGTCCTCCTATCCTCTCTAACATTAGTGTACAACCCGTTGTCGTCAGAAGAGCAAGCTGTATTTACTATCACCATATCACTGTAAAATACCAAAAAGTCGTTTTAACTCTAATGTAATCGCAGAAACAATGACAAATGTTCTATTTTCTTTATATTTGTACCTGTTATAGTATGGATTTTCAACTGACATGGGTCCTTCACTATTGGACCTGTAAAACAGAATCATTTCAAACAGTAATGAGATTATCCATTTGCTATTTAAATACACAGTCAGTCGCCTGTACATTCAATTCAGGTCAAGCATACCCCGTAACTATTCATTTTTATTTTAAAATGAATTTATTGTTTACTCGTTCATACGTTACAAGCGGTGTATTCACATGGGAGGTAGATGAAATTTCAGTCTTGTCAGCTTAAGTTTGTTCCTGAACTCGGTATAAATCTACATAGAAATTTTATCCATTCAAAGTGTGAATGATTTTTGTCCCAATACGGTGAAGTTGTAATCACTCCTCATTATGCTTGCTGGCAGTAATGCAGATTTGAATTTGGTAGTAGTCAACGGGTAACGGGTTAACTGAATTTTTATATGAACAATTCATGATATGGTTCTACAGCGTACGCTTTACCTGTCCTGACCATGACAACCTCGAATTCGAAATGTTAACTGCATGAAAATTGCCAAAATCAGATTGAGTCTTATGGTGTATACAAGGCCATGAACAATACACAGACGTCCAATGTTAACATTGAAGTTTCTGTGAGCTTATTGATAAATAAATACCAACTTTTACAAATCAGAAGAGCAAAAATTTACAAAACTGCATATAAGGTAATTTATTTGAGTAGCTGGGGAATAACTTCTTCCTTGTAGTAAAACTATTCAGGAGCAGCAGAGGCTAGCTTCGTCCAATACCTCGAAAAAAACACTTTTTTCGGTGTTCCTTGTCCTTGCCTTTTCGTCCTCCGCCTAAAGTGAATTAAAGCGAAATATAGAGATTCCTTTTAAGTTATTCCTGATAAATAGTTATCTTAAATCAATCATGCAATTACATATTAATGTCTTAATTACTGATTAATATATTAATTGACTGGAATCTTGATTAACTGTTTGTGGGGGTTGCTTGGCTGGTAGTTTGGTTTTTTCATTGATTGCCTGCATCGATTAGTTAGTTGATTGATTGAACTTTGGAACATTGCTTGGTTGGTTTGGTTGTTATTCGGACGTGTCATTAGCTGCTTGCAGTGGGTGGCTGGTTGATTAGTTAATCGGCTGATTGACTGAGTGATTGTTCGTTTGCTTGGTTTTTTTGGTTGTTTGGTTGCATTGTGTGTCAATAGATTGACTGACCTTCTGACTGGTTAATAGATGGATTGATTGACTGATCGATTGATTTGATTGATTGAGTAAGTGGACGAGAGTAAGTGAGTGAATGAGTGAGTGACTGATAAATCCTGTAACTGAATAATGATTCAGTGCCTTTTAACGATACTGAGAAAATGCGAGGAATATATTTTTGTATAGTCAGTTTGTTACCTGAGTCAACACAAATCTCACCTTTTGCAAAAAACGAATCCGGCTACAAGCAAGGCTACCAGAAAGAGCAATGCCACCAACGGAACAACAATAGCTACTACGTTCAAACCTGCGAGATATAACTTCAATCAATAGTAACGGGGTACGTCTCAACGAGAGCCTCTGGTTATATTGATAGTCTTTTTCAGTGTGAGATACCGTGAAAACCTGCATTGAACGGACACCATCGCTCTCGCTTGTGTTCCTTGCTACCAAAAAGACTCTCTAGGTAATAAGGTTTTTGTGGAGGAAATTTAATCTTATTTGAAAAAACTAGGATAAAATGCCGCGTGTAAGGACGTACAATTTTTTGTCTGACGAAAAAGAATCTCGTATTTTGGGGTAGCAGCTATTTTGCAATTGAGGCTAAGTAGGAGTTAAATTTTTAATTTCTATGAAGCAAATATACTTGTTGTGTGCAAGAAAAAGAAATATACTTGGGTTTTGTCCTTATATATATAAATGCAGTTATTCATAAGTGTATTATTACAAGCCTAACTAAATTGATTGCAGAATGTATATGTAGGATTATCTCTATAACAAGAGACGTAAAAAAATAAGATAAATAATTAAATAAATTAAAGTAATAAAAAAGGTATTTGTCTACAAATCTATATTTCCAATCTCAAAGTCAAACTTTTTGCTAAAATGTTAAGCATATATTTAACTGTAACTTACATAGAGAAACCTGCTTGATCTTGCTTGGCTAAACAGTTTCTTATATATTTTTGGGCAATAACTTAGCATATTTCTGCCAGCAGGTTCTGAAACCACTAAGTTTTTACACGCTGGTTTTTAAATAAAATTCCAGTACACTAAAAACCTGCATATAAGAACCTAGTGATTTAATGAACCTACAGGCTGAAATTTGACATTTATTTTAATTAAATACCCAAAAACATAAGAACCTGTTGAGCCTGGCAGAGAAAAGTAGGTTCTTGTACGAAAAATCACTCCAATTTTGATGATCAAAACTCTGGATTTTAATTATGCGAGAAGCTTCCAACAAACGTTATTGTGTATATGTTTTCTTCGATTTACATTTGTTTGGATTTTCACTATAGAAATATGTTTTCCATAAAGCTACAGTGCAATATAAACGAATTAAATCTAAACATTCTTCCAATGGTTACACTTCGACAATTAACCTCGAAAAACAGGAACCTATTAAGAACCTTATCAGCCTGAATTGTGAAAAACTACCCGACAATAAAAGAACCTGTTCAGCCTGACCTCGAGAATTGTATAGGTTCTTATATGTTGTTTTTACCGTATGTTACCTTCTCCTTGAGACGCGTTCCTTTGATCTCTGTTCCCGCTGTCTTTTGTCGATGCAACAGTTGTTGCTGTCACTCCCATGTCGGATGTGGTCTTTGATAATGAAGTAAACAATTTTTTAGCAGTTGTTGACGCGACTTCTTGGGTAGGTATTACGGCTGTAGTATTGTAATCAGAAAAAAAGTACAGTTAATTTTAGAAAGCTGGAACAATTAGCCCAGGGCCCAGCTGTTCAAATTCAGGCTTCGTTTTCTTTTCTCGGATAATTTTCTCTATTCTTTTTAAAATATTCAATCATAAAATTGTAGGCAAGAATTAACTGAATTTGCATTTTAGGTTTTAATATCTTCGGAATTCAATTTTGCAAGTACCCTGGGCTTTCTTAACCCACCTTCGAACACCCCAGCCCAGGGGATTTCTTTTAGCTCAGATTACAAAAAATGTTGTGTTTTCATTAACGTATGTTGATATTAATTTCAGTCCTTATCCAGCAGTTTTTTAGGATAATTCAATACAGTACATCCACAATTGCCCATAAGTTAATATCATATGAACGATGAAAATGAAAACGTGGCCGACTGTGCACTTTAGATTACCCGTTTTCGATAGTTTATCTGCAGGTAAATAGAGGTCATAAAATAGCACTGAAAGTAATTTCCGGTTTTTTTACCTGAATTGTACACGGCACTGTACGTGGCATTGAAGCCGGTGTGATAACTAGAATCAGTTTCATCTGATTTGAATATGATAAACATATGGTTTGACGAAGACTTGATTCCATTCACGGGGGGAGGGTGCTCTCCATAAAATACTCCCAACAACTTCCCTGTGTCATTTTGCGCATCAAACACATATAAAGCATCAGTATTGTTCTCGCTCTGCAAACTGAAGTCTGTGAACATGAGGTGGATTTTTTGTCCTGGACTGACCGTGATCCTCCAGGAGCAGTACTGTCCATCCGGGTATTTGTTTGGATAGCTTGGAGAGTGAAAGGTGCCTTTGGCTCCCCTCATGGTTTCATTACATCCTTAAAGGTAAAAAAGGAATAGCATTCGGGAGGTATAACGCTTTTATAGCTTTAAAGTATTGAAAGAAAACCCAATAGAACGACTGACTGTGAGTACAACCTGTCGTGTTTCATTTTTGGTGTAAGTGCAATAGATCTGGCGGGTCAATTTAATCAACCTTTTACAAGTGTAATTTGGAAATTTACCTATTGTTTTCAGACTCTAAACGATGGCTGCACTTGAAAATAAACTTGTAAAAGTTTAATTATATTGACCCCTGAACCTCCATTTTAGCGGCTATTGTAAGTTGAAACTGGAAAAGTGTTTCCTCTGTCAAGTACTGAATTGGTTTTACGACGTTCAAAGTTTGCAAATCAGTTGTATTTTTACACAAAACTGCATGGCTGTGGGGTGATAGGATAGAAAAAAAAATTCAAAAATGCTATAGAGATGACGCACCACGGTAATAACAGTAATATATGGTTGGATGCTTTATTCCTGCATTATAGGGGTAAGGCCAGTCTGCATGGTCGCCGTTAGGCCAGTGTTCTGTGTCATAATGTATCCATTCCATTGTCGCTATCGCCCATTTGACCATTTGACATTCATCGGATCCGTAAGCCAACAGAAAAAATGGGAATTGAGTGGGAAGGAGGATTGGCCTCTTCTTGTTTCCACTTGTTTGGCAACAAAAATCTATCCTTGTATTTTTGTTATATTGGCCTGACGGAAGTATTCCACTATCGTCATTCAAATTATCGTAGTAGTACGTGTCGTCGTCATCCCAGTAAACGTAACCTCCTGTCAGTCCTGATGGACACTGTGAATCTTTCTTGTAAACACAATATTCGCCTGCAGGAGAAAAGAAGTAAAGTCTGTAAATAACAGTTAAAAACGACCCCTGCCTTACTTTTTTTAACTCCTTTGAGGAAACCTAGCTAGGAAACAAGCCAAATTCTAGGAATCGGTTTCTTAGTTAACGCAGTACAAGAAATTGAACCGATGTTCGTTTGAAAAGAATCAGTAAAACGTAAATAGATTAACTATTCTATACATATTGAAAGAAAGAAGCAAAAGAAATAAATATTTTCATTTCTGTTTTAGATATCTATCTTTTGTGAATACTGATGGTGCACAACGTTGCTAACCTGAGGGCCATGAAGGCCTACTGTTTTCGAGCTCGTTGCTTGTATTATTCTTAAAGCAGAACGACCTGTTTACTTTTTTGTTGTCCACTTCCCCATCAAGGTGAAATTCGCTTGACTTATTATTATTTGAATCTTCGCCATTAGTGTCTTGCAATCGCCATCCAGTCTTCCAGCGGAATCCATACGACGAAGGACACCCTAATGTAGCTTTGGGTAACCCGTATGTTCCCGATGGCCAATGAACGCAACCTAAAATCCACAAACTTATTAGTGACTGAGAAGGGAATAAAAATTAAAGGAAGAGTAAACAAATATTTCCCATCTCTCTGCATTAGGTTTCGAGGCTT